TAATAGTTCTCCAGGCTTTCTGGAGGTTTCTATTTGGACATTTGCTGCTGTTTCACTCCAGTCCAGTCTTTGTAGCGTAAAAATGTGCATAATTCAAGGGGTGAACCACACATAACAGACAACTTAGCAAAAAAATCTGTTTTTAATTGTGTCTGTAGTTATTAGTGGCCTAAAAACGTCATATTTTTTGAGTGTAATCTACAAAAATATTACCAAAGATAAAAGTTTAACAGGCATAAAATTGCATTTTTGTACCAGCCGGCTTGTTCCCAAAGAGCTATTAGCCAAAACCCTGACATAACAGTGTGGTGTGCAGTGTGTCCTTAAACTGGACAAGTGGAGGAGAAATTAGGAAGTAGCAGACTTACAAAACTATCTACAGAAGATAAACAATATCTGAAAATACTTTCCTTACATAAGAGGATTTATGGAGTGATGAATTAAAATGCTAAAGGTCAGGAGGGAGACACAACAGTGAGTCTTTACAGTCACTGAAACACGGTGGCGGCTCTGTCACGTCTGGAGCTGCATTTCCGCCACTCACATTGGCGGTCCTGTCAAAACTGATTCATTTCAATTCAGTTTTATTTAAATAACCACAAATCACAACAACAGCTACCCCAAGCTGCTTTATATTGTAAGGTAAAGGCCCTACAATAATACGGAGAAACCCCCAACAATCATATGATGGAATTATGGAAGCAGAAAACTACCATCAGGTTTGATCCACCATAAAATTCCACGTGGGAAATATCAGCTTGGTAACAGCTTCACTTTTAAACATGACAATGATCCAAACACACTGCCAACGCAGTAGAAGCACCTGGATGGAAAAACACACAGTGGATTGGCCTCCCCGGAGCCTGGACCTCATTATTACTGGAGCAGTGTGGGGTCACCTTCACAGAGAATGTAACATCCAACATCCACAGCTTTGACTGTGGATCAGGGGTGGCTCGAGACACTATAATTTTGTTTATCGTTGTTCATTGTGTGCATTTATGTTATCAAGTTTTCACCAATCAAGAAGACCATTTTCATTAATCAAGAAGGTCGATTTTTGATCCTCATTCGTATGAAATTTTAAAGTACTTTTAAATAAAAACAGCATGAAGCAATGCAGGTTTTGTAAGAAGGCCCCTCTGCAAGACGAAACCGCTAAATTACACAACAGCTGTTCCAAACTTCAGCATTTGAATTGCTTTTAACTGCATCAAAGGAGCCGATTTTACAAGTATGACACATTTACAACTGATTTGGGTAAACTGACAGGGTTTCTAGCCTAAGTGATAAAGCCCGGGGACCAGCCCATTTATTTAAAGTGTTTACGTGTAGCTGCGCTCACCTTACCAGGAAGCGATTGATTGACTCAGACGCTCACAGAGGAACGGCTTCATTTTCCCATTTCACAGAGGTGAGTAAACAAGAACCATGTGGATATGAGAAACTCATCGGCCTCTCCGTTTCTCAACTTTTAGGCGTATTGCCAACGGAGACTGGTGTTGAGTAAGTTTGTGTTACTACAGACGCGCGTAAACGCCTTACTTAAAAAACTCGTCTTATTCATGGCGATCGCCGTGTTTTCGGCTGAATACGAGCGAAACACGACTGTGTTTAAGTTTCCGTTGTAGAAAAGAAAGCAGTATGAACGCCGAGATATGAATGCATTTCCTTGTTTAAAACGCGGAAAATGGCGTTTATTTGGCCGCTGGGCGACAATGGGTCATTAAAATATTGTTAACATAACTTCTCCATAATTATAAATAGTCACAGCAATAACATGAGGAAGTACATAAAGTCTTTCTTTTTCTTTCTGTCGATCTGTGGTGTGTGCGTGGCAGATTTTGCTCCGGGCACACTGAGATGTTGAAATGAAGATTGATGAAAAAGTCCTCACCTATTTTGAATCTTGCAACTCACCTGTGGATAAGGAAGGGTACCTGTACAAGAAGGTGAGACGCCCTGGCTCAGGTTTACAGGGAACCTGATTAACGTATTATTTTGAAAAACAAACAGAAAGGGTAGTGAGGTCATCTAAAGTAAATAAACTGAGAGGGGATTTTTTTAAAACTGTTTTTAAGTTCAGCTTTCAAAATTTCTGTGACATTTCACCTCCCACTGGGTTGTCTGTTTCCTCAAATCAGTTATGTAAGAAATTGAGTACACAAGGCGTTTGTACAGCAGTCAGTAAAAGACAACTGTCACACACACACACACAGGGTGAGATCAAGACTTCCTATCAGAAGCGCTGGTTCGTGCTGAAGGGGAACCTCCTCTTCTACAAAGACCGGCAGACCGACCGGGATCTGGTCGGAGTGATTGTTCTGGAGGGCTGCACCGTCCAGCTGTGCGAGTCCGAGGAGAACTTCGCCTTCTCGCTGGTGTGGAGCGAGCCGGGGCTGCGGACGTACAAGTTTGCCGCGGAGAACCAGGCCAGTCAGGAGAGCTGGATCAAAGCCCTGCTGTCAGCCAGCCACAGCTACCTGGCCCTGCTTGTAGTGGACATGGAGTCGAAGTACAGAGGTGAGGGCAGAAAGATGGAGCGGGTTTATCTTTGTTGGGGAGAGGGGGGCTAAAGAGAGCAGCCTTTGTTCTGGAGGGCAGCTGCGAGAGGCGTTGCATCACTGTCTACATCAGACACCTGGTACACTGTGGTACACACACACACACACACACACACACACACACTTTACGATCTCGCAGCATCAGTCGCATCATTATAATCACTACTGATGTTGTATCTATTGACAGAGTAGTAATCAGAACACCAAGTTTTTATTGTTAATATTTGTTATTGATCGTTCTGGTTTTGTTCTAAAGATGGGTCATAAATTTCTCATAGCCACCACAAAATCGATCTCATATCATATACAGACACCTCTCATTAAAACAAAGTTGATATGCTCTCACAGATTTGGGGGCATTTTGCTAAAAACTGGCTAAAATGACAATTAGTTTCACCTGTTAAGTAGTAATTGACTTAAGTGGTAATTAAGTTAATATCAGTCATTGAATCCGTTTATGGACCTGATGTCCTGACCATGAGGTGTGAGCATAAAGCTCTCGTAAAACAGAAAGCGTACCAGATTTATGTTTGGTGCTAGATTGGGCCATCCAACTGGGAAGTTGATGGTTCGATCCCCAGCTCCTTTAGTCTGTACGCTGAAGAATCCTTGGGCAAAATACTTTTATCAGTGTGTGTGTGTGTGTGTGTGTGAAATGAAACGATTTTGTGAATAAAAATGAAAATATAGGGGAAATATCCAGAGTTTCTGTGTGATAGAATTCTGTGACACACTTTGAGTCAACCACCCTTCTTACAGCTATAATCAAAAAAAGACTAAAACTAAAACTGAACTAATAAAAACTAAACTAAAACTGGACACAAAGATCAAGTTAAAGAGGTTTTACAAAAACAAAAAACTAAAGCTTTAGTTCAGGGGTGTCAAACATAAGGCTCAGGGGCCAGAATCGGCCTGCCAAAGACTCCCACCTGGCCCACTGGAGAGCTTTAGAAAATGTGAAGGACAGCTTTAAATGTTAAACTTTTAACTGTATATATATATATTTTTTTTTTTTTTAAAGTTTACAGCTTTTCCAAGTGACAAATACCTCCCCCATGGTCATTCCTGTAACACTAATGTCAATAAAGAAACAGATAAACAATTAAACAACATGGATTTCCTGGGTTTTTTTTTATTGTATGCTATAGACATTAATGATTTTTACAGCAGGTTCACAGTAAAAAGAAAAAAAGACATTCTGTTATTTCGCCCCAAATTTCCATTTTATAATTACAACACAGTCAGAGCTAATTTTACATATTTATTTCTTACAGTTTGAGCCTAAAGCAGCATTTCTTTTTATCATGTAGAAAAACTGACAGAAAAAACTTGGATTAGCACCTGTTTGCTTAGCATGTACGACACAGTGCTTTATTTGTGTACATTTTCTGAGCATGTAGTGATCAGTAATCCGTATTCCAGAGCTCAGAGCCGGAAGAGATCACCCACTGATTGTAGAGTTAAAGGTTAGATCAAAGCGTCATTGAGCAAGTGGATGGAGCTCTGCCGTACACATGCAGCATGAGCAGATTTTATCTTTCTCTTCATGTGCATTCAGCTCCTTAATTTCTATATTTCACTGTTTTTTTCTTCAGATGCACTTGGTGCACTCTCCAATAAACCAAGCAAACCTTTTGTCATGCCAAATTTCAACGCCATCCAGCCCGCTGCCGTCTTTGTGACCTCAAACACCTGCACCTCATCTGCGCTGGGAACAACACCCAGCCCGAATTCCTGTCCAAACCTACAAGCTCTTACCATTTCTTCCAAGACGGCCAGTAAGAAATCACCCAAACTGCGACCGAAGAAGAATGCCAACGCGGTGCCTATGTTTGATCCATTTCAGACGATTGGGGAGTACGACTTTAACCAGCTGCATGAAGATTATGGAAAGGAAATAAAGGAACTGATTGTCATGTGGTCAAAGAAAGGACACGGCGGTGCGAATGTTCAGGAAGAAAACTTGATAGATTTTGAATGATAAAAGTTTGCTTTGTTTCTAACCCTTAACTTATAGAGAAGCTTTATCATACATACGTGCACTGGATTAGAAATGTGTCTGTAATATATAGTTGACATAGTTATATTTGTTTTCTTCCAGAAACATGCTGTTTCTTTTTTTCTTACATTTTCATAGATTAATCAATAAATGATCTATGATCATCTGTTTTATTAACCTTTGTTTGTCACTGCAATGATGTTATTTCCTAAGTTGGCATTTTTATAAAGTCACACACCTGAAATATGACCTCCATCTACTCCAGCTAGTCTACTGTCTCTATACTGGACATACTATGGCTAACCAGTTCAGGTGAAAATCTTCCTCTTAAGACAGGGATGTCAAGCCTGTGTTACACTGTAGGCCACATGCACCACATTTTGTTTTTAAGGAGGCTGGATCAGTAAAACTGTCCTTTAATGTTAAACTACACATTTACTAAAGAAATGCTGCTGTGGCAAATGAAAGAAATGTGTCCGCACGACTCTTTGGGATTAAACTGTAAGAAATAAATGTGTTAAATTACAGAAAGGATCCTGGTAGCTTAAAACTAGACTGAAATTTTCTGTTAATTTGCAGAAAATGTAAATTTTTTTTGTTGATTTTTTTTTTTTACAGTGAACACATTGTAAAAACACTGAGGACAGAGAAGGAAAGAAACTGTGAAACGGTGATATAAAATGTGCTTATTAACAACAGCTTCATTACTTCAGAGCTGATAATACCTGGCGTGTTTATAAGAAATAAATGTGCCAGCCATTAAAAAGGCCTGAGTTAATCTGTAGCTGAAAGTTGGCCATATTTCCATTTTAAATCAGGAATTGTCCGATCGAGGAAACATTTCCCTTTGGGCTCTATTATTATTGATGACCTAATGAGTCCATTTTGCCTCACAGATTTAAACTATTTGACCAGTGACAGGGTAAAAAAGGACTTGACAGTTGGCTCGGGGGTTAACGCAGGCCAAGAAGGGTGAAGTCTGCTAAATTTTAGAAGGGGGTCTAAATGGCTGAGAAACAGAATGGCAGGAGGGCAGCAGGGCTATTTCAGTCTGTACAGCTGTCTTGTCTTCGTAGTCTTTGCTCGGTCTTTCTCCTTCTGTGTCTGCATCGCTTCTTTTTTCAACCTTCGAGCCTACAGCTGAGCTGGCTGCTTATCGGCTTCACATACAACACATTTTTTGCCTCCTCCTTGCCAATCGGGCGCTTCGTTTTCCATAATTACAAAACATTGCAGATAATTTAGGTTGTATTTTGCCACGTGAAACGCTACGCCCACGAGCCAGCTAAGACTCAGGATCGCTTCACGCCAGCGCGGGATACCAATACATACATACCTAAGCTGTACAGTTGTGTGATTGATGGCCAGCCAATGATGCTCATATATGGGGTTTAGTGGGTGGGTCACTGTCCTCCTATCCTAAAGCAACTATACTGGGAACCACGAGGAGGAAGCCAAATTAGTGCACCCATGGCGGTAAAGCTGGTCATTTAGTCCAATCATCATTTTGCCTGTTTCTTTTTTTCTTTCTTACACTTGAATCAGTAAAACAGAGAAAATGATTCACTATCCTGGGTGTGAGCACCTGTTTTGTCTTTAGTCCCTGTAAAGGTGGCCTCTGTGATCTATTTTGTTCCCCTCCCAGTTACACTGTCAATGTTATTCTTTCCACTGAGCATTTCCAGCTACTTGAGGCAGTATTAAAAGGACTGTTTGGATTTCTCACGGATGCACGGTCACTTTTTCCAGAGACCCAGTGGTCGTGTGTCATTGCTGGACCTGGACTAATGTCCGTCAGCCAACTGTTTTCAGGTTTCACAACTGTTTATACACCCTGATGGCCACTAATGAGCTGGCCATGGCCACAAACCTCAGATCAAACCTATCATTTAGACAGGTGATGACTTCAGGAAATGTTAGCTGAGATATTGAGCAGCACTGGAGTATTAATTAATAGAAGGCAGCGGGCCGTGCTGACTGCGGGGTAACTGTCCCATCTGTGTCTGTATTAAAGCAGTAAAGCGGCGACACTTTGCCATCACGCACTGGGCTTTGAAGTCTCACAATAGATATATTAAGTTGACAGAAATAGCCACGACAAAGACTCAGTAAGTAAAATGGGAATGTTTCAGTTGTCCTTTACCGTGTCCCGTCTGTCCATATTAGTCCACACATGACACCAAAGTCACTGTTGGCATTGAATTCACCTCATTCCAAGACTTCTGCGGCCTATTTTGGATCATCAGTAAACTGATCCCCCCCAGCCACCTCCTCGCTCCTCCCTCTTTCTCTTACTATACCCCAGCTCTATTTTCCTGCCAAACCTGATGGTGTGGCTAAAGTTAGCCCCCTATGGGCTAGTATATAAGGCCCCAGGCATTCAATACCTACATGTCAGTCACATCGGCTTGGTGTAGGCTTCTCTTCTTGACCAACAACAACCTCAAAAACTTGAGAGATGGTGAGTGTGGCCACTTCATTGGGTTTAAAAAAAGTCTTTAGGATGTTCTCTACATTAAAATAATGAGATGGGCGTATCATTAAGATATTTGCTATCTGGACTACCAACATCCCATGAAGTGAACTTGAAGGAGTGCCACTTTTTTGGATTTGGACCCAGTGTTCGTGTTATCTGCTGCCTTGAGCTAAAGTTCGGGAGGACCTATTCCTTATTGTAGTCCTCAACACATTACATAATGTTTTATCCTAAATTGGGTGATTGTTTCAAAGTTTATAATTTTTTTAAGAGGGGGAAAAATTCAGTCATTACCCCAAAGATAGATTCAACTGGCAAAACTGCCAATCCAAGCTTAATTTATTCAGGAATAAATTTGATTTATTTACTTTTCTTCATATGATGATTTTGAGAGTTAACCAGGATCTGCTTCTTTAGTTCATGTCATGTATGTATGGATTTTCTTACACCTCACATCATATCACAGGCACCCAAGAAAGCCAAGAGGAGGCAGCAGCAGGGTGAGGGTGGATCCTCCAACGTGTTCTCCATGTTCGAGCAGAGCCAGATCCAGGAGTACAAGGAGGTAACCTTTTCCTCATCACACCTCAAGCTTTCTATCAGTACCTTCTAAGGTGGTGATGTAACCGAGCACTCCATCATGTGACCTTGAATGTAACGTGAGAGAGTTGTCAGAAGATATAGATCTCGTCACTTTAGCTGCACAACAGCAAAAAATGCCTCCATCAGCACGGCAGGACAGTAAATTTCAGCTCTCCTGTTGACAGCAGTTACCTCTGCTCTATGCTAGCTTAGGAATTCTCCTCGGAGACACTCGCTCCGTGACTCCACTGGAATGCGGCCCAACAGCTGGTGCACAGGGGAAGGGGAGCTCAGGGTTGAAACTGAAGGAATTTGGGGGTTTTAGCACTGTGATCAACAAGGTAAATAGTGTCGTTATCAGTAGATTATAGAAATCAGGATTCATTTGTAGGGGTTTTCTTCAGTAACAGATCTAAATGAAAGACAATACAATGTCAACAGTAGCTTGGCAGACCCTTAAGAGGCCTCAGAAGCAGAGAGAACATTGGTAACATGGTCATAAGATTTAGTCACAAGGCAAAAGGATGACAGCTGCAATCAATACCTTGTCCTTAAATGTCGCAAGGGGCTTGTCTCACATTCCCAAGCCATTTTAACACCTTAGAAAGACAAGTGGCTGACCAGCTGCCAAGTCCCAAAAGGTTTGCAATGCCATCTTTGGTTTCATTGGGTGATACGCCCTCCTATGTGGAAGGAGAAGGAGCTAACTGCTCCACATTTACACATTTACATTGGCAGAGTGCCTCGCGCAAATAATCATGAAAAACAAGCTGGATAATACGGACTTGTGAGAAATGTGAGAACCTCAGTTTTCACTTTTTTTTTATTAAGTGTTATTTTAGCTGAAGTTTGGCTGAACTCTGATCTAATCTCTGACTAATCTCCCGGTCGCGCCAGGCTTTCACAATCATCGACCAGAACAGAGATGGCATCATCAGCAAGGACGACCTCAGGGACGTGCTGGCCACCATGGGTCAGCTGAATGTGAAGAATGAGGAGCTGGAGGCCATGGTGAAGGAGGCCAGCGGCCCCATCAACTTCACCGTGTTCCTGACAATGTTCGGCGAGAAGCTGAAGGGTGTGTTGGCACATATCAGTTGTCCTTTGTATTCTATTTCATGAAATACTTGGCACTGTAAGGTGATGGTTGTTATTTATCTAAACAGTTAATGTTATGTGATTAACATAATTCTGAATTATTATTTTTTTCTATGTCTTTGTTTTCATAGGTGCTGATCCTGAGGACGTCATCGTGAGCGCTTTCAAGGTCCTGGACCCCGAGGCCACTGGCAGCATTAAGAAGGAATTGTAAGCTTATTTGCGTTTATCTTCCATCTCTTCCTGCTGTAATCTTTCATCTTAATCTTAAATTTCCTGCGTTTTCCCTCTCCAGCCTCGAGGAGCTCTTGACCACCCAGTGCGACAGGTTCACCGCTGAGGAGGTGAGCTCATCGGACTTGCAGCGCGATTTGGCCCTTGTTTTTTGCCAGGCTGTAACGCATTTCTTCATTTCCTCTTCATCTGCAGATGAAGAACCTCTGGGCTGCCTTCCCCCCTGATGTGGCTGGCAACGTTGACTACAAGAACATCTGCTACGTCATCACACACGGAGAGGAGAAGGAGGAATAAATCCTCGACATCTCTTACCTCTGTTGAAACCCACACTTGTCCATACCCTTAATTCTTCCTCCACGCCACCAATGAAGCATCCTCCTCGCACACACTCGCGCCCGGGTCGGCTCTTTCTTCTTACGAAAAGACTTGTCTCCTCTATCGAGATGTTCAGTGAGAGGACGGGAGGCTGTGGGGGTGTTTGTGTGTGAGTACCAACAGGGGAACATGGGATTATTTTCAATAAAAAATAATCTTGTGACACCGAAACGCTCTCTCTATCTCTGTCCCTGCCTCTTCTTCCTCCATCTTTTCCCTCCCCTCCTCGCCCATGACTCATTCTGTCCTCCTGTGTTGAGGCCAACAGTGCATGCATCATACCTACATATATATGCATATGCAGTTCAGTGTGTTTGGTCAAAACGTCTCTTGGGTGCTGTGGTGCATGCACAGTCACTTGCTTGAAACAGGCGAGCAGTCTGGCCCCGGCGGTCTGTTAGTCTCAACCGGGCACAGAGTGTTTAATGGATCCCTCCTTCTGTTTGTACCGGCCAGGAGTGCACAGTAAAAGAGTGGGAGTACTGCGCTATAATAGTTTGCCTACCCCTCTCTTTTATTTTGTCACTCTCTTAAACACAGGTACGAAAGGAAAGGTTACAGTAATAAGAGGAAAGCACGATTTTAAAAGTCTTGTAAATAGAGAAAGAGATGGTGAAAGATGGTGGTTGGGTGGGCGGCATAAAAAAGCTAAACAAAAGCAAAACAGCTTTGTTTTTGATTTTTCTTTCCCCCCACCTCACCCTCACTGCTGTTTCCACTCCTGCTGCTGTGACTGTGTCTCCACTGTAACAAATAAAGAAGTACAAATAAAATCCATTATCTTTCGTACCACACTGTGTCTCTTGGTTTAAGTGGGAGCGCG